AAATGTTTGAAATGCTGATCAGCAAAACGTCAAATTGAAGCGTGGCGTTAGTTAAAATAATATTGGTGATAGCTTAGAACAAGAAGGACATATGATCCTTTTTTCCGTGGGCGCGACATAAAAAGTGGAATAACAAAAACAACTGACATCAAATTGAAAAATTTATGAAAAAATGGTATAACAGAACTCGTCGATCAAACCTCAATGAACAACAAATAGATAATTTTTGACACACAAGAAGAAATTTATAAAGTAGTGATTAGAAACGAGCAGCGTTTCGATACGATTGCCGCACAGATTACTGCTTGCCTAATAACGTTTGCGTCAATAGACGTTGCTTGCGAGTAATGTGTGGCATTGAAGTTTATCGGAGAAACGCCAAGATTGTGGAAAAGTGAAATTACCATTTTTGACTCCACCACTGAGCCATGGCATACATTGCTTCATGGAGAAATACCCGAATCATGAAACACTCAAAAATAAGGCAATCGATGAAGCAATTATCTCTGCATCTCCAAATTAGATACGCCCATCCAACCAGTGGCACATCAAATTTGTGTCAGTTCAAGGAATAATGATCTTGAAATGAATGAGGAGATACATCGGTAGGTCCTTGCTCTTGATCGAAGCCCTGTGTTACCTCATGTGCGGTAGTTATTATACAAACCGGAACTTAATTATCACCACTAAGTCTAAGTAGTTTAAACGAATGTACCCCTGTTGAATTTTTGTTATTTTAATTAATATTCTACAATTTTTTTTTGATGTTTGTCGAACCAGGGTCTCCACTACGAATTGCGATTCGAAAGCAAGATGCGATCCGAACTGATGATTGCACCACTTAACTCTTACACATTCGCTTTCCCGACGTAATTCTACAATGTGACAGCACTATATTCGAAATTTGTATAAATGATGCGAGGAGTGTCAAAATATATAAACAATTTATTATTTTATAAAAAAAAAGTGGGTTAAAGTTTCAAAATCTATGCGAAAGTTATTTAAAAGTGAATTCGGTGGCGTTCCGGTATGACGACGAAAACAAAGTATAAATTCAGGGAAGGCACTTAACGAATCAGTCAGACATTTTGAGCCTGAACGATAAAATGTGAGATAGGTTGTATTATAATTGAGTAGAAATAAGGTCCAAATGAAACTGTGCAAATTTTGACGATGTACAATTCTCGAAAATGTATCGGTAAAATTATTGATGCGCTAACAAAAGAAAACTGAGCATTGCTAAAGTTTGTGATGCTTTATTTAAGCATAAATTTTTAACAACAACAGCCAACATCGGAGAGCAAGTTATTTTTGTGCTAATTATTTTTTTTTTAACATTATATTTATTTCCTTAAACTGTTTCATAGTTTAGCCATTTTACCGAAAAGCAACTTATTTGCTCGAAAAGCTTTCCAAAATATCAGCTTTATTTTATAATAAATTCTTAAAAACACGTCAGAGAGTATTTTTTTGAGCAAACTATTTTTTTTTTAACATTATATTACTTATTTTCTGGATCTGTTTTATATTTTAACCATTTCACCGAAAAGCAACTTATTTGCACGAAAAGCGTTCCAAAACGTCAGAGTTTGCAAAATATTGTTGCAAGGCAAATTTATAGAAATCAAACGTTCTGGAAATCGCCCAAGCATTTTTATATGTTCTAAATAGTATTGAGCCGAAATTAAAAGCACCTCTTCGTTGTGTCGCAATACGCAACTCTAATACTGGCAGCTCCTTTGAAAATTTTTAGCTCAAAGTTGTTACCAGCATCCAATAGGGCAAGATTTTCAATTGGTATTTGCACAGTAGACGGTGTAGAAATATTTATGGTAAGTTTGCAGTGCAATAGAGAAAATTTTTGTCCAAAACATATTGTGTTTAAAATGACAGCAAATGAAATGCGAGATGCAAAGCGACAATATTTCAAATTGCCTCATTTTTATTTTCCCTAAAAAAATGTTTTTTTATAAAAAAAAAACAAAAGATGCTGTTATGAACTTACATTTTTCAACCGTTCCGAAAGCTAGTTTCTTCATTCTTCATTTTCGAATAAAACTTACTGTCGCATTCGCGTAAGGTAGTACCGTGAATTTGGCAACTTTGGAATTGAAATGCTATTATAGAATTACGTAGTAGCATTTATTGGAAATCGGATCGCAATACGTAGTGGGAGCCCAGTAAAGTAAATTAATGAGCAATATGATTTACGCGACGATGCTCAAAGGAAAATTTAAAGGTGAAAATGCTCTCATTCTGATGATCACGATGATCCGCAACGATATGCCACTTGAGTTTACACGTCCTTATTTTCCGAACCGTTTTCCATTTGCCATAACCATATACAAATCGCAAAAAAATTCATGTTTTCGACGTGGTAAATCATATGTGGCATGTTCACGGGTCGCTAGACCATCTACGTTATTTGTTCTTGCGGCTGATAGTAAAACGAAAAATGGCGTCTATCACACCGTACATCACTGAGCAGTGTAGGTGAGTTCCGAAACGTCAGCTGCAAAGCAACCATACACTTTCAAACATTCCTAAGTGCAGCTGTGCAAACTTTGACTATGTATCAAGTTCCAAAACGCATCGGTAAAGTATTGATAAGCAAATAAAAGCAAACTGCGTATTGCTAATGCGATTGTGATTGTGATGGTTTATTTTATCATAAATTCTTAACAACAACGGCCAACGTCGGAGAGCAAGTTTTTGGCGCTAATTATTTTTTGAAAACATATTACTTATTTTCTTGATCTGTTTTATATTTTAACCATTTCCCCGAAAAGCAACTTATTTGCACGAAAGGCGTTCCAAAATGTCGGAGTTTGCAAAATATTGTTTCGCAACATTAAAAAATATTTTGACGTTTTGGAACTCAACCTGTAATTCATGCACCAATAAAACAAATTATTGATTTTAGATTTTATTTTTTTTTTTTAAATTCTGTTTGTTATCCTAATAAAAAATCGAAAATCTACTCACTCTACTGCTTTTGACTTCATAGGGATTTGAAAACGAGAAAACCAAACTGTCGCTTACACTCTTTTGGCGGTCAAATAGATATAATATATGCTTATATCGATAACTATGTTCGCATCATGCAATCAAACACAAAATGTATTATAAAAAAAATTAATATCGTTTTAATTATTAAATTTATATCAATTAATGCTTTTAGTTTTTAAAACGATTTATTATAAAAACTTAGGACCAAAAAATCTATAAGTACGCGCAAACAATAGTCATAGAATACTTTTCGTGAAGTTTTCCTTGGTAAAATTTAATTGCGGTATCAATACAATTGATACACCCTTTAAATGTGCAATCAAAATATCAAAAAAAAAATTGTATCGCATGAACTAAATATGCGATATACTAAACAAATAATTTGTGTGCTTTTTGAGTCAACCTTATTACCTACTCGTGGATTAGAAAGAACTTATTGCTTTTGTAAGAAGTTCGATGTGCCTACTTAAAAATATCATTAAGGAAAGGTATTATAAATGATACCACCATGATCTGCTGCCAAGAGAGCGATAGCTTCGTAATGAAAAGTAATTCGAAAATTTTTATTTTAACCAGGGTACGAACTGACGAGTTTGCTCAAAATTTAAATTATTTTTCATACATCTCCGAATTCATTAAAAACGAAACTAAATGGAAATACGAGTCAAATAACACGGGAAACAAAAATAAATATTGCCCACAATAATATCCTTTTCAATGACATTTTTCTATAATTTATATAAACTAGTTTTGAATGGCACTTCAACATAATTTCAAAAGATAATTACTTTTGCACTACACCATGCTAAAATTATTATGCGCCTTTAAATCGCCAAAAAACCAAATGGTCCCTAGAGGACCACTAAACGTCCTGGATTGCTTAAATTACTGTCGGGAGCGTGGATTACATACAGACAAAACCATTGCACGCAAAAAACAAAAGAGATTTTATTGCGCTTTGCTGGTACACCCTTGAGATATAAATAAGAATAGACCTAACAAATTTTAACTGAAAGTGTTCTATATAATATAATTAATATTCAATCTCTTGTCAAGTTAATTGTCCTAAAGGATGCCAAAAAAATTTCATTCCGTTAAATTTGGAGTAAATCAAAAAATTTTTCTTATTTTACAATTATGACACATTAACTTTACATTCACAAATTCTTATACAACTTGTTACACACAAATATTACTTTTAAAGTGTAGCACACTTTTAAAATGCCTCGCAATGAAACTAAATCAAACCCACAACGCGTACTTCTACGGGTTACTGTCGGAGTTCTATTAATACAAAATTATACTTCAAACGTTTTTTCTCAAATGCCTGCTTACTGAAAACTTTGTCTTTGGCAATTCTGCTTTACATAAAACTGGTTTAATTACGTTTTTAAACACTACATTGTAATACTTAAATTAATGACAATGGGAAGATTTCGTTCTACGCGTAGGTAAAAATCCCAAGAAATAACGGATTGTTCAAATTTCCTCACGATGGAATATTATTCACTTTTGAAAAATTTATAAATGGATATATGTTAATAACGGTCAATACACTACAGTAATGGATCGAAAAAAAATAATGTTTAAGAGCTCAGGAGCGTCGAAAAGTAGCATTGTAGTTAAATAAAAATATCTCGTTATTTGTACAGTCTTATATGCAAAGTTTAATATGAATATTCAGAGCTGACTTTGGTCTCGAGTTTTTAAGCTATAAACAAAAAATTTAAAGGCCACTGGAAAAAATTGGCAAATAACGGTCACTCTAACTTAAAATATATCTTTTACATATATAAAGAAATATTTTTTATTCGTTTATTCGGTCAGAACAAAAGAATGACTGCACGAATTTGGATAATATTTTTCCTGAAATATTAATGGAAGTTCAAGGATGGCTGGAAACATCATGGAAGTTGAGCCAAGTGAAGTGAGTGTTTATTGCTCGATTTACTTGAGATTCTTTCCCTTTCAGAAAGTTGACAAGATAACGATTTTTTTTTTGGCAAACAATGGGATGATAAGAGGTACAAAGCTGTGCGTAATCGTATATCAGAATAGTGGCGTTCAGATTACTTCGAAATATTCACTTGTACACTTTCTGGAAGACTTTTAGATGTGAAATAACCAATATTTCCGACTATATCTGATACGCACGTTCAAAAGTAGATAAAAAAAATAAATTCCAGCAAAAAAAAAAAAATCGAACAAAATGGTGAGATCAACAAAACAACGTGTCGCCGGCCTTCTAGTATAAAATATATAAATAGAATATAATTTTTATTGCTGTATATGTATGTTTGTAAAAGAAAATCGTATTGTGGAAAGTTTAAATAAATAGGTAAAGGTAGATAACTTCATTTTTTTAGCAGAATTGTATAGTTTGCAGACATTTTTCGAGTTCTAAATTGCAGAGTAATGAGATGCTTTCCTTTCGTATTCGTTTTCCAACTATTCCTGGATGCGTTAAATTTACTTTACCTATATGCTGTTAAGCTAAATGATTTGTATAATATAAAAATTTATTTTACTTTATAATTTATGAAAAAATCAGTCAATTTTGTGTTCTTTTTTCTTTTATGTTTGTTGTTAAATCCATATGTATGGTATGTTTATTATTTGTAGTCGTGATTATTATGCAACTCCACCTACAAATGATGAAAAATAGAAGGAAAGACTAAAATAGACTATAGAAATACTTAAACAGCAGCTCTTGTGAGTATCTTTAATGTTTATCTATAATAAATGCATTCATTAATTTTAGATTTGCACTTTTCACTTTGATTTTCTTATATTAATTACATGTATTTGTTCATGACTTTTTTTTATAGAAACTGTAAACATTCTTCATTGACACCACTTGAAGAAAGACGTGTTTAATGTTTAACATGGCTGCAAACTTTAAGACATACGTATAGTATGAGGCGGCATGTATACATGTTACAAACTCGAAAGAAAAATAGAAATTAATCACAAGATGACAATAAGTTGTTTTTACACTGTGCAAATTATACGTATTTTTTTAATAAGAGATAAAAAGTTTCAATAGTGTATATCAACTGCATTTTTTGTTTGCATTGGCTTTTAGAGTTCAACAGAATTTAAACATGACTTGACTTATAAATAAATTATGTATATCAAAAAATAAAAATAAAAAAATTAGTTTTCCATAAGAAACAGATCTATTGACCATATCATCTATTAAACATCATAGCAAAACTGCAGACACTATTATTAGGTCAACACCCCCTAATATTTTGGCTTACACCGGCAGTATCGAATTATTGCTTGAGTATAAAATTTATAGTCGTTGTGTTATTAAATTAAGCATTGGTTAATCAAATTTTTTAACGATAAATTACGTTTCTGCTTTTGCCTGTTTTACGATACAAATATTCTCTACTAATGACACGATAAAACTGAGGAAACTTGGTAAAATTATACTGAATACAATTTTTTCCTCCTGAAAGCTTAGCAACCTCTACTCTCCTGACATCATGTTGTGTACTTGCTCCAGTTTAAAAGCAAGCCGTTGTTTTTGTGAGAACTCATCTTCTTCTAATGTTACGGTTAACTGCTCATTGTATTTTACAGCATATGTATACAGTTCATGGAGGGCACAATTTGTATTAAACTCCGTGGTATGTAACTAAAAAAGTAAATTTCGTTAAACTCACAATGAAAAACATTGAAAATAGTTTTATGAAGCCGTACTCTTGATTCTTCAGCTAGCATAGCATTCATATCCTGATCAGAAATTGAGGGCATTTCTCTAATGTCACGATAATATCTTTCGACCCATTTGCGATATTCTGGTATATCTTTAGCGTAAAGTAGTTTTGAGCTCGGGGAATCCTTGCCTGCACAGAAATTTCATCGGTTAATTTGAAAATCATCCTTTTCGTGAGCTTACCTAAGCGATGATCTGACGTTGAACATGAATCCATAAATGTCTGAGCCACAACCGACAAGCAAGAGTCAACTATATTTGACTTGTGTATGTCGAACACAAAATTTGGATTTTTGATCAAATTAACCCAAAATCTAAATTTAAGATGAAGTGTTACAAATAAAATATAAATTATTTAAATTTCACAAAAATACCTCAAAGGCAAGCTATTACTCTTCCATGTATGTACAACTTCATGATCAGTAATTCCATGTAATATGGCTTGGTCATCCAAAAAATCAAACATGTATTTAATTGCTAAAGGCAAAGCGGAACCTCGATGAGCCGTGCTAAATATTGTCTCAAAAAGATCATCTACAAATTTCTGTAAAGTTCCCTTAGTTGCTAATAGACGGGTTAAGTATATTTCCGACACCAATTTGTTAACACGTTCTCCTTCCTTTTGAATGTCGCTATCGTGGTGTTTAACTAAATGCCAACATTTTACACCATTTTCATGTAAATCATTGTTTAGTGGGCTACCAGCACGGCTAAACGTTGGTGAGGAAGATGTATATTTCGATAAATTCAATGTTTCATATCTGTGGGCGAAACGATTGAATCAAAAATGGAGCACTGTAATTCAAATATCTTTTGTATGTCGATTCGAAATTCAAAAGTTTTATATTAACTGCCTAAATATTAAGTCTATTTGATAGTCCTGAAGCAAATTGCTCTCGGAATCCGTGTGCCGATAAGTTTAGAAATGTAAGATTGAATAGTACCTACGTCAAATAGAAATTCAGTAATTTACTTACTTGTGACACTTTTCATTTTTGTCAGAGAGTATTGAGAAGTTGTAATTAGAGCTTTGCTTAGGGACTAAGCTTAATCCAGCTCCGTCAGGAACATTGTAGTGTTGCAATGTATTTAGTTTCTTCCATTCACTCTCCGTTTTAGATGTCGTATCCTCGTCATATAAAATGACGCGTCCACTGGCTCCAGTACGCCACTCTGAAGAGAAAACAGTTTTTTATATAGAAAATAAACACAACACAACTTGACTGTACCTAGGTCTAAATCATCCTTTCGTGGCCGCTGACTTGAGGGAATGTTACGATAAATTGTGTCCACGCATTTGTCTTTAACTTGACCTATGGTGTCACAATCAAGGACTTTTACTGGGACGTTTTCTGTATGCGTAGGCATCATATCTATGCTGTTGCAGAAAATTGGCTGTTGTATAATACTTGCATATACGGTCATAGGGCGAAAATCTATGAGTTGACGTATAAGTTTTTCTTCACTCAGGGAATATCGAGCCTCATGTGTACAAGCATCAACCGGGCCCTTGTCTACTTGACCTTTGACAGCTCTAAAGAGCATATATAATGGTTCTCCAGCACATTCCTTAAGAAATTTATAAAGCAAGAATGTGAACCATGCACTTAACATTTTTTCCGCCACACTTTCGGTTCGACGTAATAGTAGCTTCGGATGACTTTTGCCCTCTATACATTTCTCGATTAAATCACCAAGTAAAGTTTTCAAAATATCAGTGCAATATTCTAATTTCGATTGCAGTGTTACCATTATTAGAGATGCCACATTAACGCGTTCACGCATGGAAAAATATCGATTTGATTCTAGTGTTCTTATAAAAAGTAGTAAAAAGGTTTTATTCATTATAAGCTGACCAAAAAGACGTAGACCCTTTTCTTTCCGTAATAACTCAGGCCTCTCCCATTGTAAAACAATGTGGTCCTCATGATTTGGAAAAAGAATTTTCATAGCATACGTACGATAGTCCAAAAATGGTATACCACCAGATGTAAGATCACCGGTTAAATCGGTCATTTCAGTTTGAAGTTCGGCAAATGCCTCTTTACATTCAGCAGCAACTCGAAGCTCTAATATATCCATTTGTTCTTGCATATTCCGCAAAACTCGGTTAGATTCCGAAGTTTTCTTTTTATATGCTACCAGAAGGGCGACAAAAATCATGAGTATCGCAACGGTTCCCACGCCGATGACCAGTAGTACATTTTTGCTTAAATCATGCATTAAATTAGGCGATGCATAACTTAGAACTCCAATTCGATATTCTAATGATTGCCCAATTCTAACTATAACTTCAGGGCCGGATTCATTGCTTGATTCTGTCGCCGATTCCGGCGGCGGTCGACACGTTAATTGTTGCCTTGATAATGAAGTTATATTACAAATGCCTTTACCAATGCGTACCACCACGTCAGTTTCTTTACACGCACGGTCCAAATTTCGCCCGTTTATTGTTAAATACTCACTTTTGTAGTATTTTATGTCCTCTTCAAAATTGAAGTACAATGGATTTGGATAAAGTTCAAAATGATTATTATGTATACTAGACAGATTCTGAACACGCAAAACATTGTCCATAAGGAATCCGTATTCGAGTAGCACCGGATTCTCTGCATTAAGTATATCGTTGTCAGTTTCTATAACAGGTGAATAGCAAATCATATGTGTCGCGGATTTCACCTTGCACTGACTATAGAATATTTTATTCTTATAATACACGTACATTCTAGGATTTTGAATATAATTAAATTGAGTTCCAGTCACTACAATTTCAATACCACCGGCTGGAATACCCCTAGGTACTTTGAGCTGACTAATTGGCCCAGACGAAACTTGATCTATAGTGGGATCAAGTACGTACTTGAAATTATATTCGTTAAACTCGCGTTGACCGTTATCAAACAACATTTTAAGTCTACCTTCAATAATTCCTGGTGAAGGCGCTGTGCGACAAATAGCTTCCGTGACGTCTACACTTAATATGTCGCATCGCAAATGCTCATTTATAAAAGCTTGGATTCGCGAGCCAGCATTCAAGTATTTACCAATTATGCGTAAATGAGTACCTCCAGAAACTGGACCATATTGAGGAGAAAAATTTGTAATTTTTGGATCCACAAACTCATAGTCCTCTTTTGATTCGCCACGGTAGTCTCCAATTTGAACAACTATTCTCCCATTCCGATATAATTGAACTCCGGGGCTGTCCACATTGCAGACAATTTCTTTAGTATCAACATAGAACTGTTGAAATGGCATGCAGCTTATACCAGCTATACGTACACCGGAATAGATGTCAGAGAAATTTTTTCCCAAATTTATACCGCGTATCGTAATATTGGTTCCTCCTTCCCAGGGTCCTGTTTTAGGGTAAAATAAACGGATTTCGGGATTGGGACACGTCTCCATGCGATTCAGCCAATCTGTTTTACCTTCGTTATTTTTATTACATTGTTCCTCTACTTCACACGTATTGGTGGAAGAACACCAACCGCAATTATATTTTTCTGCCAAAGCTAAGCACATTCCACAGCTATCAGCCATATCGCGACATCTATAAATCACAACTATAAAGGGACAGAAGCAATACATGATTAATTTAAAATTATATTTACAAACTATGTTACGTAGATAAAATGATGTTCCAAATCCAAATTCGTTACACAAAGAGGCGTATTTTATATCAAATAATGAGTTTAATTATATATTTAAATATTATTTATAGTTTACTCTACCCCTGGGGTATATCTTATCTCAATACTAGATACGATTTCGTCATTCATTAAAGTAAAATATCATATATGCGTGGCGAAAAATTATTTGGGACGGTCAGTTGACAGTGACACACAAGCACTTAACAAAAAATTAGCCCGTCGATTACGTGAATAAATTTTCTTAAACAAACAAAAATTTGTTAATTATTAACAAATAAATAATATTTGATAGTGCGATTTTCGTTTGCTATGCCCCTATGATTTCCAAATCCTTACGAATTCGGCCACTGGATTGTTACATAAAAGTTCAAGGTTTTTTTTTCATAATTTCGTGATGGTAAAGAATTCAATCAACATTAATTATTTTATAACTTACAATGCGCTTTACTATACGCAACTAATTATTTTAGAATAACATTACTATTTTCACAGTTTGCTAACTATACAACTCTCTAAAAACTAAAAGTTTATTCCGATGTATTCTTAACCGATGTTGTGACCACCGAGTTCACCGTGCAAGAACTGGCTGATGGGTTCACCAATACATTCATACGATTCCGGGCAGAACCAACACATATGCATTTTTTTTGTTTATCTTTTTCTTCTGAGTACATACAAATTGAAGAAGAATGCAGATGATTCGAAAATTATTTCTTAATTTTACTTAGATGTTTTTATGCTTCAAAGGAGCTGCGATTATGACGGAGGCGTTCGGGGAGCTGCTTGCTTATTTTTGAAAACGAATTTATTGTTGTATTGTTATTTCTTTTAAGTGATATGTAACCCATGTACATGATTTATGTTAAATATTGAAATAACGACTGAACCTTAATTATGTTTGTATGGATGTATATATGTAGGGAACATTTTTGTCAAAGTGTATGTATGTATATATGTAGGGAAAACTTTTGTCAAAGCTGATTTCCTTCAGTGTCAATGGTGTCGCTCATCTGTGTTCGTCTTGTGCGGCACTGCTGCTGTTTTTATACGTCAATATTATTTTCTTTTGGTATCAAAATGTCGCTCAGCTGTGTTCGGTTAGTCCGATAAGAATGACAAAAATGCACAAGGAAATGAAGAAAGAATGACGTACACGTAGGAAAATCGTTCTACGAGCTGACGGGATATGTCGTCATTCATTTCTGACATATGTTTGCTCAAATGATTGGAAGCCTTCTTGCAGGGTACTTTTGCGTCTGACCAGTGTTGCAAACCCAATTGATGGTGCTCGTACTCAGTTTTTGGCATACTCTATCGATATACAGAATACTCAATATTCGTGCTCTAGAATATACATTATTTACCCGGCATCTACTTTTCATCTGTTATTCGTAATTGGCATTTCCGCACAATATATCTTTTACGCGAATAATTTGTTAAATAAAAAATTGGAAATTACAATCAATCGATTTAATTTATCATAAGTACGTACTAGATTCTCGGTCGATACTCGTTCTTTGCAGAACTGCTCAAATACTTGTTTAAAACTTTTTAATTTTCAATTTTGTGTGCCCAAATTCTTCTTTCAATGAGCTTTACATTTGCGTGAATAAATTTTAGAAAAGTTCTCAGTAAAATCAAATTTTTTTTGTTTAAAATTCTTGAGAATCCTCAAAAACGTACAAATTGCTTGAGTTCGTGTTCGAAACTTTTCGAGCAATAAACGAGTGTGCGAGCACTCGTTGCTCAAATGTTCGAACAAAAACTTGAGCTCTAATACACATTCGAATATTTTGCACTTACAGGCAGGGTTAAGTTATTTGGTATTTGTTTAAATTAATTATGTTTAACTAACATTAACTTCTTTAACCCTTTTTTTTAACAAATGGTGTAATGTTAGTCGGACCAGGGCTGGAACCCTGGCCTTTCGAAAGACAATATGTAATGCTAACAACTCATCTATCACGGCCATCACATTAATATTTTTCAGGTATTCACAAAAAAAAAGAACAACCAGAGCAAATCGACTGCTTCATAGGTTTTAAGCATAGCAATCCAAGGACGATAAAACAAGTAAGATGGACTAACGAAACCAAGGAGAATTATATCGCTGCTGCTCAATGAAAAGGTGTAAAGTTGATATGTCCTTGATTAAACTTTAAAAACTAATTTTAACCATGAGTGTATGATTAGTGCCAGACGCGATCTATAGGTGGAGGTTTTTTTTGTTACCCACCTCCCGCACTTCGTAAGGTAATGCATTGCTAAGTTTGTCCTGTATAAACACATAAAGTGTCCAGATGATCTTAGAGGCATGGTAAAGTTAAGCTCGCTAAGTAGGAATGGGCTATTTATAACACCTCCTATCGATTTAGTTAAAGAAAACACCAATCATCCTTCTACGAGTATAGAGGGAATGCAGATTAGTTTAATATTATGAATTGGTTTTGTACAGATTCCAATTTATCAATATACAATTCATAGTGTTGACTCCATAAAACTGAGCCATATTTTAAAATGGGCCTAACTCACTTGTAAAGAGTAATTTGATTGTGTATTGGTCCTTGCACTCCTTTGCCCAACGTTTAATGAAAGCTGAAATGCCTTTTGCCTCATTAGCACAAGCATTTATTTGATTTCGGCCGGGGTAGCAGAGTGGTTAGCATTGGGTACTGACATTCGGAATGCACGGGTTCAAATCCTGGTACCACCAACATCCAAAAATTATGGAGGCGGCTTAGTATGAACTGTATTGTTGTTGTTGTAGAAGCGGTTCGCTAACCAAGCTTAGGTACAGGTTCCACTAATCTAAGTTGCCGAGGTCATCTAACGGGAGGTACGGGAAACGAGCTTTTTTTGACGGGATTGGACCAAAGGAAGAGGGGGGCTAGATGAGTCGGTTTGAGGGGGCATATGAAAAGGTTAGTGTCGTGCGGAGACTTTCCACATGCAGGAAATACAGTTGCGGTCAAAATCTTAGTAGTAATTTTGCTAATTAAATATTAGTTATCATGACGAGTAGACGTGACGATATGCATTATTTTGTTAAGCTAGGATTATGGTTGTTATTGCAATCGGCTAAGTTTTGAGGAAAATTATGTTTTTGATCAGCCGAATTGTTAATAGCGCAATGAAGAATAGTTCTAAAAAATTAAATACTTTTTGTTTTTGGGACTAAAAAATTAAAGAACCGGTGGGAACTATTTTTGTTACCAGTATTCTGTTTTATGATGTTTAAAAAGCTGATTGGCGAAGGAAAAACCTACAGAGAAGTGCAAAACGTCATTGGTTGCTACCCCTAGATGATCCGAAACGCTATAAAATACAAACCGCGTGTCATAAAACGCGGGCGGAAACGTGTAATGCCCACTCAATTGGTTAAGTCTGCTGTAAAATATTCGAAGCAATTTTCTTTTGCAGCTGCCACCGAAATAAAAAAATCTCTAAATGTGACAGCCAGCGTTGAAACTCTCCGCCGACGCTTACGGGAAAACGATATGTCCGCTCGGAACCCCAAAAAAGTGCCTTTGTTGACTAAACAACATGTGGTCAAACGATTACGTTTCGCCAAAGACCATTTGACTTGGCCTTTAACCAAATGGCATAACATTTTATGGTCTGACGAGTCAAAAAATGTTCGCTATGGTGGAAAACGTTCAAGGCAGTTTGTAAAACGTCCACCCAACAGTGCACTTAATCCAAAATATACCACTAAAACGGTAAAACATGGTGGATATAGCATTATGGTTTGGGCATGCTTTTATGGTATGGAGTTGGTTCAAAGAGACCATGAATGCTGCCCAATACGCCTAAAGCATGCAGGAGGTCATGCTTCCATATGCTAGCGAGGAAATGCCACTAATTTACACCTTTCAACAGGACAATGATACGAAGCATACTAGCAAGCTTACAATGAAGTGGTTTGGAGACTGCTTGGAACTCAATTCCAGTTGAATGGTCTCAAAATCTGGTGAGCTCAATGCGACGTCGCTGCGCTGCCATAATTATTAATTATGGTTATGCAACTAAATACTAAAGTATTTTTATAATAAGCAGTTAATTGATAGCCAATATCAAAAAAAAAAAGTTTAATTGAACCTAGCTAAAAATGCTTTAAAATATACCCTATAACGTGTAACACTACTATGATTTTTACCGCTTAAAAGATTATAGTTTCTTAAAATGTATTATTTTTTTTTTAAAACCAAGTTGCTCCAGTTTTTCTTAATTAGCTTTAATTAGTCTTTTAACTACTATAACATAAAAATTAAACTAAGCAAATAAATAACTTTTTTTCAACTGAATTTAGTGCTTGTCTGCGCAACTACTCCCTGTGGTAGCATCCCAATAGGAACTTCTTGCACAGCGAAGCATTATGCTCCTTAGCTCGAAGCAAGGATGCTTCGCTGGGCAAGTGATGCTCCGGCGCCCAGATTGGTGCAGCATAGTTTACGACCGGCCGTCCAATTGCTTTGTAAGTTGCCAGAAAAGTTTCCTTATATTTACTCCAGGTACTGCCGACTAGCGCTTTGAGTATTTTATTGCGGCTCTGGATTTTTGCGGCAATTGCAGTCGTATGCGGAATTGTCCAGTGTCACTCACAATAAATTTGGGTTGTTTTCGGTCGGAATTTTTACGTCATCGACCTTCACATCTAGTTCAAGGCTGCATTCCTTCGGCCAGCTGGTGAAGAGGGTAGTCGAGGATTTGGTCGGCTGTATTTTCTTATGTCGTGCAGTGAAAAAGTGTGAAAGATCGGCAAGGTAGCAGTTCACTTTCGAACAAAGGTAATCAATATTCTGGCCAGACGCCATTCGATGTCAGGGAAACTCCTTCTGTGGAAGTTTCAAAGTGTAAAAATTAAACAGTAGCGAGGGAGAAAACACCACCCCGCGAAGCCCCATGTTTAATTT